CCTGCTGAATGCAGTGAGCAAGGTTATGACCCTCAACTGTGCAGACAGTTTTGGTAAGCAGGACCTTTCTGACTCTCATCTGACATGCCCCTCTGTGTCCTGAGACGGCAGAGGCATCAGATCGTTTCAGCAGCCTTTAATTTACGACGGTCAATAGGGGCACCACTTCTCCCTGCTCCCTTCCCTGCATCGAGCAGCGCCAGTCACCTGGTGATGTGGCTAGCCAGGTCAGGGAAATGGAACGGTTAGTTTTCAACCAGATTTGTTTTCTGATCCAAACTCCAGGATGAGCAGAAGAGAGGAAAAGCAGGAGCATGCGGGTGGAGATGGTGGGAAGGGCAGGACTCCCTCTTTCGGCAGAAGCCATCATTTGTCTGCGGAAATATGGGGAACAGCAGCCTGAGGTGTGAGCATCTGCTCCTCCTCCCCACGTGAGCTGCTGTGTCATGGAGAGCTGGGGCCACTAATATCCCAAACCCTAAAAATTCCAGATCTCTGAAGAGATAGCTCCCAGTCCATCAGGTTCTTCCCACATAATACAGCCAGAGCAGAGCCACTGCGGAAACTACTTGCCAAAAGGCAGTTATTTCCTCTGAAAACAGCTGTCTGTTCCTTCCTTTTCCTTACGCCTCACAATGGCGTAAGCGCAGCAAACCTGTTTAAGGTGTTAAACTGGCTGAAAACTAGTCAATCCTTTAGCTGGGTTAGTTTCTCTCCGTTTTAGGTCTCTGGGCTGTCAAGCACCAAATCCATCCCATACCAGAGCAAGGCAGGAGAAGCGAAGGGACTGTGCAGTCACGTTCACTCGAAGTGGCTTGAAGTAGTACAACTATGTCTTGAATCAGTTCAGTCTCTTCCATTTCCACATTGCATCAACCCTACCTGGCTTTCTCTTCACTTGTAAAACCTTTCAGAGGCTCGCTCTCTATTACTCATTCTGCAGAAATGCACCATCTGTGAGTGGCATCTGATCCCAAACGGCATGAACCGCTTTTTAGATCTTCAAAGGAGCACCTTCCTTTTTTTCCTCTTCTGTTGGATGGGGCTTCACACGAGTAGCCAACGAAAACTTCATTATCCTCATTGAAATTCTGCTTCAGAACCATACGTTCGTGTGTTTCCTACAAAGACACAAAAAGGGGTATGTTAAGGTTGTTGCCTTTTGCATTCCTCAGTCTTCTTCCCCCACTAAAGTCGGTGTTTGTGTTATGTATGCGTGCACCCCTTTTCTGCATCTAGGTGCTACCTTTCCCCTTACATTTAGATTGCACACTCACTGGAGCGAGATCAGAGTTTTGTCCTGCGTCTGCAGGAAACAGCACAGTAGGGTCCCTTGTCCATGAGCTGGCGCATTACAGTAATAATAAAATAATAATTCCTTTCTCTTTCTCCAGAGGACTTCTGCTCAAAACTCTCCAATGTTACACATAATATTTTGGGCAATGAGGAAATCAGGAATGAATTCCAAGAACAACACTGGAAGCATAATGTTTATTGAAACTCCCCATGATGATGAAATCCTCTTCCCTCTTTCCATCACAAGAAGAGTTTAATGAATTGCCTCCCTGTTCTGCAGTTGTCCATGGCTGGGGGCACAACTGATGGAGAGCATCCCTTCCTCCGCTGAGCCTTCCTTCAACTAGTTACAAATGATATTTTCATCCCACTTATGACAGTCTTCCTACTACAGTAGCACTAAGACTGAATTTATTCTCACATGAGAGAGTTAAAAAATATCTTTTAATCTTTCTCTGTGATGCTCCAATTAATTTGATCATTATTATCTTATTTCTTAATACCTTTGGTTCTTTAAGTTGTTGGGTTATAGGACCTAACAGTGTCCCTTCTTTACCAGGTTTCTGTTTTGGTAGGATTTCGAGTTTTAGTGGACAAGGCTGAAGCCATTATGTTAACAAGCCATCTGGTGTAAAAGCTCTGTGCTCAGGGTGATTGCTTTTCAGAAATTTCTCAAATCTCCCCATTTCTTGCAGGAATGGTGGGCAGCCTGCAAGTCGAAACGTGTAGCATCCACACCGAGGAAGCACAGTTACTTAGGCAAATGTGTGAGCGCCATGTTAACACGGTGTGCCTCCCCCCAAATAAACCACATACCAGTAACCAAAACCAAACACTTCTGTCTGGGGCTTTTGCTTGGAGCATGGCACATCTGGCACACATAATATGCTGGCATACTCAGACCTCTGAATTTAGGATCGACTTGAACCCTTTTCCAGCCAAGCCTCCACACGGGTGATGCCCCAGTGTGATCGCAGGGACCGTGCAGTTACCCGCTGTAAGGCAGCAAGGAGCAAGTGTGCTACACCAGTCAGGGCTAAGCAGACCTCCACAGCTCTTTCAGCTCCAGCTCCTCTCCAGCAAACGTGCCTCTGTGTATCTCCACCACAGAGCCTCACGTCAGCTAGCACACCTCCAGTTCCTTTACTGGTCCTCCTTCAGAAGCATTCACAATGTACGGCTGGGCCACGCTGGCTGGACAGTGACCTGTGCATTCCTCTTTTGAAAGCAAGATGCTTCAATCTATTACCTCCTCAAAACTGTGTCCCTCTCTGTTATCCCAAGGGACAACTGGAGTGGTAGCTTTTTGTTTCACACTTACTTTTACTGAACATATTGAAACACCTGTAAGACTCTTAGAAACACTTACGGACTACTAACATCAGGTCTGTATAGTTTGAACTCCAAGTATAAAAGTCCCTTTCCCTGTCCCACAGATAAACAAGTACTTCCACTTACTTTGGTATAATTTAAAGATGTGCAAAAGGACACACAGCAGAAGCAGCAGCTTCTCAGGCACACATACCACTAAAAGAGGCAGTATTTTTCATTTGTAAAGCTCTGTAAACCTTGGTCATTCGTATAAACTGTGGTATCTCCTCATTGCTGTCCATTTAAACAAGTTTGTGGGATGCAGAGATTATGAATTGCTTGATAAATTCCTATGCAGATTTATAGCATGGAAGACCTGCTCTTTACTGTAAGAGCTTTCAGCCAAGGTATGATTCAAAAGTCAATGGCCTCAGTGAGTCTCTCTTGGCTTTTAGCAGTTATGCCCCAAGCTCCAAGGTAGGCCATTTAATGACATAGATACAAGACATAGAGATGTCTGTGGGAGGGTTTGGTTGGCAAGAGGTGGAATGATTTATCTGTCTGAGGGGAGAATGGGGATGATACGTGGCTGTTGATAAGCCTTGTAGTAGCAGTGAATATGGGGGAAGAACTTCATAGAATCATAGAATCATTAAGGTTGGAAAAGACCTCTAAGATCATCAAGGCCAACCGTCAACCCATCACCACCATACCGACTAAACCATGTCCTGAATTGCCACATCTACATGTTTTTTAAACACCTCCAGGGATGGGGACTCCACCACTTCCCTGGGCAGCCTGGTCCAATGTTTCATGACTCTTTCAGTACAGAAGTTTTTCCTAATATCCAATCCAAACCTCTCCTGATGCAACTTGAGGCCATTTCCTCTCGTCCTATCGCTAGTTAGTTGGGAGAAGAGACGGACACCCACCTCACTACAACCTCCTTTCAGGTAGTTGCAGAGAGTGATAAGGTCCCCCCTCAGCCTCCTCTCATTCACATTAAACCCAGTTTCTTCAGCCGTTCCTCACAAAATTTGAACAGAAAATTGAATACACACAAGTACACTTTCCTCTCTAGCTAAAATAAGGGGAAAAGGCTTTTTCTTATGTTTAAAATCTGCAGTTGGTGCCTATTTTGCTAAGACATTTGGAAGCACATGATTTTGTAAATAATATTTGATGAGTGCTAGTCTGCTACTTTGTCTTGCTCATGACTATAATGAAGCCCTTCAAAAAAGAACGCATGAAGATAAGCAAATGAAAAGGATGTTAAAATTATTTTTGTTTTTCTTTAAACCTAGGATCCTGGCATTTGTTTAATTTGCTACTCATGGATTTTGTGGCTCACATTTTCCTGTCCTATATAGAAGAGGATGAAGATGAAAGTTTGTGCGTTTCAGAGCAAAATGAGTCCCCTGTTCTGTGGGTTTACGAGCCGGTTTACGAGCCCAGCTATCTCTGGGGCTATTTTGCAGAGAAGCAACCTCAAGCCAATGCTCCACAGACAGGTCTCATAACTTTCATGCAGAGTCAGAACAGTTTCGGACTAAGCAACATTTTTCCAGAGTTCTGAGTTGTTCGGTGGATACAGCCACAGGCAGCCAGGTGAAATAAACATTAACTTCAAAGAAGATTACCAAAAAAAGTTATAAATTGGGTAAATCGGGAGGGATTGGGAGAGGTGTGGTTGGTTGGGGGGTTTTATGTGTGTAAAGTAGAACTAATGCAATCATGGAGCTGTGTCCAGTGTCACCTAAACCTCAAGCAACAAAGCATCTTCCACAGCCCCCGCCCACCCCAAGATCCTATCAAGGGCTTGTGATCTCCACGCCACCCACCTCCTCATCGGCACAGTTCCCTGATGCTTTCATTAGGTTTCCAGCAGACCTTCCATGCTCCTTTAGATTCTCCAAGCATTGCCTAAGCAAGAGCAGCACTGTTCTGGTGGCCTGGGAGCAGCTTG